CGAAAAAATTCTATATAATATCAAATTACCAGAAACATCTCGGTGAGATAGTCCTCAAATAAAACATCTCGCTCTTACTATCAACCTCACCTTATTTAACAATGGTAATGGAGTGATGAAAGTATTTAAAAAGTAATAGAAAAACTCTCACTTGTATTCCAACCGCGCTCAACACACGAAGCTCAGTATAAACGCTCCTAATAGTAATCAAGACAACAAAAAACATCTTATACAGTCAAACATGAAGAGAAATTAACAACAGCTGAAAACAAATCTCCTGGGTAATGACCAAAATACAAAACGGGAATAGATTGTTCTAGTTTCCCGTGCCATGCCTTTTCTGGATATCTTAGTTTTCCACTATTTCATTTTAGTAACACAACTCTTTGAACTCACAACTCTTTGGATCAAGTCAGTTTTGGATTATTTCAACCAAATCTTTTATTCACTGGGTCAAGTGTCCTTGACAATCTACCCCCGTGGACTAAATAAAAGATTTCAATCCGAAATTTTAACGTATATCACCTGAACAATGCCGAAGCGTACAACGGCCGAAACGTCGTGAATATGGCAATAAAGATGAAGATAACATTCCGAACACTGTAAATAGTGTAAATAGTAACAATACCTCATCTCAGAAATATAGACGAAAGCTTGATTGCTCAAACTTTCTTCGCACTTGTGAAAAAAGTGAATGCTTAATAGAGTTTTAGATTTTAGGCGACACTAAACGTTGTTATCATCCCTTAAGATCTGAAATAATGAATTAACAGGGATTCCAACATTGATTACATCAAAGTTAACACCCTTGTTCAAATTAAGTGAAACAACTGCTTTAGTTTCCTTTCACCATTCGGTCAGTTTTAGATACAATGGAGTGACAGGCTGTAATCGATTTCTATTTTTCCTTCGTTTGCAGTGGTGTGCAGTAATATGAACCTATTTTCGGGGTGTATGTTGAAATTTATTTGGCCTTGAAAAATATTGCGTCATGTGTGATTGCATCAGACTTATATCACGCCCAGACACTATTGTCTCGACTGTCGATTAATTGTCCTACGGCCATTGTATGCGATGGACGTTACTCCAAGGAAGCGTACGAAAACTGTAGCGCTGCAAGAACACACTGACAAGCCTTACCAGTGAGCAAACCAAGTACTATAAACTGGCCCGGGTTTAAATCCAATCGAGAATCTGTGGCCAATCTGCAAGGGACGATTTCGTGGAATGGATATACGAAGTACTAAAATGTGCTCTGGGTCAGGTTTCATTGGAAAAAATACGAAAAAAGTAAATAACGGAACTATTCGTTTTGTTTCAGTTAATTTGCACAAGGGTGTATTTTTCATTCAAGTGAAAGTATTTCTTAAAATATATCATTTGATTTGATAAAATATATCATATATATATATATATATGTGTGTGTGTATATGATAATATATCATTTGATTTGGTATGGAACAGAATTTGACCTTCTTTACATGAAAGTTTTTACCGATGCAAATCTCAACGACGATATCAGTAAAGCATTTCTACCACATTCATAAAATATTCAACATGCACGCACATTAAAAGCCTTGAAATTAAAAAAAAAGATTAGTGATGAATTCTGGCTTCGTTTATGCACATATTCTGCCAATGAGCCATTACAATTTTACAATGTTTCTTTTGTATTAATATCTTTATCGTTCTTTGTCACATTTGAATCGTTGTATCTTAGCTTCTAACTTTCTTCAAATGTTTGTTAGATTCGTTAAAATTCAGGGAAATCTGAACTGGTAACAGGATTTGAATGAATGCGAACTGAATTGGGCAATCAGATTAATAAGCCGCATAATCTAAGCTAATAATGCAAATTTTGCAGAATTAAACACGAAGGATTATTAGACCGGCAATAAAACAAGAACATGCGGTTTTGTCAAAGAACAGGCAATGCTATATTTATTATTAGAATGATAGAAGAAAGTAATAGAAATGCAGAAGAGTGTACATTTATAATTTATAGATTACACAAAAGCATTTGATGAGGTTCTTCAGATGGATCATTTAGGAAAATTAGATCTATTTGGAAAGGAGGAATAATCTAGAAATGGAATGGAGTAGGTATATAAAAATAGAAAGGACCCTAAGACTAGAAGGATATGTCTTGTTACTGGATTTGTTAAACCCCTACAGTGAGCTGTAGACTCTGCTAATATTATTATCGATGGGCGAAATATAAACAATATAAGATACTCAGAGGTTACTGTGTTTATAGAAGACACAAAAGAAAAACTAAAGGACCTCCTAGACAGTGTAGTAAAGGAAAGTGAGAAGAAAAGACTATCAACGGTAATAAAACAGAATGTCGAACTACGAATTGTCGACGCCAAACGAGTACAGCTCTTTAGATATGTAGAAAGTGTTTCAACAATGGAAGGAAGATGCTATACCGAAATCCGTACTCGACTTCGATTAGCAAAAGATACATTCCAAAAAGGAGAAGCAAGAAGGTTTTGTTAGGAAAAAAAAAGAAAAGAGTGTTGAAGTGTTATTTAATACCAATCTTCTTGTATGGCGATGAATGCAAGATAGTTTCCTCAAAGATGACTGTCGTTCTACAGTAGGATGCTGAGAATGTCCTGAACGCAGCGCGTAATCAATGAAGACGTCTTCGGGAAAATGGAATCAAAAAGGAAACATACTCAGAATCAGAAAGGGACAGCTGAAATTTCTTGGGCACATAACCAAAAAGACAGCTTGGAGAATCTATCCTTCGTATGACACATCGAAAGCAAAATGGGCAGGTAAGGTCCGCGGCTGACCTACCTGCCGAACATATGCGTATGAATGGCGGAACGAGTGATGGGACAAGTGATTGGTGGTTGTGGAGAGCCATTATCTTCCATGTCCTGAAGGAAAACTACACATAAAAGAAAATATATTGTTCCCATCATCCGGTTTTTGGTGACACTCTGTATCATTTTGGGCCTGATCGCGTTAGTGTACTCCAGAACTGTTTTTGCCATAGACCGAACTCACGAATTTCAAGGAGTCAGATCAAAATTTTATACAGCTAGATCTTAATCTTATATAATATTGACTCATATTCATGCCCTCTATCTTCCAAATGTAAAAATAAAATTTCATTCATTTTTTTTTCAAAGAACTGCCACTTTATAGAACAGACTCCCGCGGGTGTGTTTCCTGAACACTACAATCTTAATCCCTTGAAGATCAGAGTGGCACAAACCCAGGCCTTCGGGTTAGGATCAAAGTGTAGTATCCGCTTTCGGATGAACAAACAATATATTATCTCCCAATTGTGTTACTGTCTTCGGAAAGAACACAAAAAAAATAAATGAGAGATACCTGGTCCTGGCGATTCGAAGCTTGTGCCAGCAAGAGGGAAGGTCGTTTAAATATCTGCGCTAACGCAATTTTGGGGCAGTTTTTGCCTTAGCCCATGTATACGAGCTTGGGCTACCCACTTTGAACCGGCCTTATGCCATATCCCATCACCTTGAGCAAGTAAATAACAAGTGTAGTGTCTGTTCTTCAGCTCTCTGCCATGTTTCTCACTTCAAGTAATTCATACAAAAGCTCAGGAATGCCTCGTCACACGGATTTCAACCCTGAGACAGCACCTCCCACATTCAACCAAAGAGGGGTGTTAGTGAAAACCAACGCCAGCCAGCATGACAGTGGTCGTGGGGACTAGCCCATATGTATGCGTATTGACACCCCACATTAAAACTATTCGAGTAACCTCCTAACGCCGAATAAATCCAATCTTAACTTCTTCAAGTCAATCATTATCTATCCTCTTTATCATCGTAAACTTCCACTTTTATTCATATCATTTTATTAATCCGTACCATTTTAACAGTAACCCTGTCCAGCCTTGCGCTGGGTGAATTTTAACATGAAAATAACACGATCAACAAATGTAATGTTGGACATCACACTTTTCTAATGACTGCTTAATGATTTCACTAAGCTTAAGCACGGAATCAGATGTTTGATTTTTTTCTACATCGTAGTTTATATGAAATACAACTGTTAAATACTCAAATAAAATATCTGGTTAGATCACGTGATAATGAAAGATTCTCCTGCAATAGAAGTTCCAAAACCATCCCTAAAATATTCGCATTTCTAGAAATTCTACAAACGTAATCCGTTAAGGAGTGTGCTGTTAATCAAAGTGAATAAAAGAAAGCCTTATGTGAGATTGTATACATAAATTTATCTACAGATGTGAATGGATATATGTATATATAGATATGTATGTATCATTTATGCAGGCATGTATAAATGTATGAAGGTAGGTAGGTAGGTAGGTAGGTAGGTAGGTAGGTAGGTAGGTAGGTAGGGCCTGCAGATTCAATCAAGCAAATCAAGTGTACTGAGGTTATGCTTGATACCAAGGACATTGAGTGTGTGGGTGCGTAATAAGGCGGGTCTAATTTTTGAAAGAATTCTACATTGCTAAACCAATGAAAACAGATAGATAGATAGATAGATAGATAGATAGATAGATAGATAGATAGAACATGCAGAAATAGATATAGAAGATGAAAGAAAGAAATGTTAAAATATATCGAAGAAAGGAATGCTAAAATAGAAAGAAAGAAAATGATAAGGTAGATAGATAGATAGAACCTGCTGAAATAGATATAAATGTTGAAATAAAGGAAGAAAATGATAAAATAGAAAGAAAGAAAGAAAAAAAAGAAAATGATAAAATAGAAAGAAAGAGAGTAAATGCAAAAAAGATAGAAAGAAAGAGAAAAAAAGAAGTAAAGAAAATGTTAAAATAGAAAGAAAGAAAGAAATGGTAAAAGAGTATGAAAGAGTAAAAATGTTAAAGATATGGATAGAAAGAAAGCAAACGCTAAAATAGAAAGAAGGAAGGAAAATGCTAAAATACAAAGAATGAACGTTAGAAACAAAACGATGAAATAGATAGAAAGTAAGAAAGAGGGAAAGAAAAATGCTAAAATAGAAGAAAGAAAATGCTAAAATAGATAGATAGATAGATAGATCAGACGAGAATAAATAGATAGATAGATAGATAGATAGATACCGTTATTGCCATTGTTCCGCATACATTCGATTAGCTAACAAAAGTGAAAACCAATAATTCGGCCTTAAACCCGGTTACTGATTGGTTGTAAAATTTTCGTTTCTTGTTTCTTTAATCTTTTCTTGTCAAGGAGCATTTGGTTTTGGTTCCTGGAAGACACAATTGATGCTTTTAAATAGGAGCAAATGAATAATAGGACGAGGAAACGAAGAAATCCTTCATTTCCTTTTCTAAGTGAATTGTACGATTCAATAAGCAGCAGGATTGATTAACTGTTTCATGTTTGTTCTTGGGCAAGATTTGCTGTTTCTATTCAATGATTTAATTGTAGATCATTATGTACAAAAATCAAAACATGCACCTTATTGTTTTGTTATTTGAACGAATAAGATTTCATACGGCGTTCTGTCAATATCTCGAACAATGTGATTGTCTTCTTATCCTCTGTATTTATTCTGTCTGATTCATCAGACAGAATAAAATAAATCCTTATTTTGATATGGAATTCTGAGAAAGACTATATATATATATATATATATATATATATATAGATTAGATGATAGATGGATAGATAGATAGATAGATGATAGATAGATAGATAGATAGAGCAACGACGAAATTATACCAATTTAAATATTTTATATTTCTCAGAATAATATATATAGCAGATTTTAATATGTTAATCAGATAGGAATATAAAAGTCAATTTTCAGAACAATAGATTAAATACAATCAAATTTGGCAGGCAAATTATGCAAAATAGGAAATAACAAAATTATTCATACAGTATAAAAATAGAAATATTGAACAATTGTCACAATATTAATAGTAAATAGCATGACCTTTCATCTTTAGAACTTGCTGCAATCGTTTTCTAAAGTTTTTGATGAGATTTGAACAAGTCTTTTCTGAAATTTTCATCCATACTTCAATGGTTACATGCTATAATTACTGAAGGTTTTTCGGTGACCGACAGTTTATTCGAACTTTCAATTCTTGCCATAGATTTTCAATAGGACTCATTGAATAACTGTAATCTTCTTTTTCTGAAGTCACGCTGTCACTGATTTAGACATATGTTTGGCATCATTATCTTGCTCTAAAGTAAATCGCCGACCAAGAGGAACATTTTGCCCTGATAGATGTAGATTTTCATTCAGAATTTTGATTCATTATTCCTCTTATTGCAATTAATTGTCCAGTCCCCTTGAACTAAAAAAACCCCAAAACATCAGGCCGCCTCCATCTTTTAATTTTATTGTGTTCTTTGGGAGGAAAGCCTCACCTTTCTTCAAATTTTCATTGTGTCCAAAAACAATTTTTGTTTCATTCCAGTACTTTTTCCAAAAGCAATTTTCTTTTTCAAGAACATTTTGCAAAAATTAAACCCGGCAACAATGTGACATGGTTTGTGAAGAGGAGTTCGTCGTAGTCGGTTTCCATACAACCCATTTCTATTTGATTACATACGCTGATACCCATCGTATCTAAACTTTGGCGATGTCTTTCAAAACAATTCAATTTCGCAACACAGTTTTCTTGCAATTAATGGTTTTCTTCTACGCCCAAAGCAAATTTGGTCGTCCCAAACTGTTTAAAAAATTGACCGTAGATTTGACCAGTTTTTTTAACTATTTTTGTGGAAGTTAATAATTCTTGTCTCAAGTCAAAAATGTCCTATCGTGCCGTTAAAACAGTGGTAACACTCATGCACCACGTGATGTTCTTTTCTGGAATTATCATAAATATTCTACTGAATAAATAGCCTAGAAATAATTATGCGAAGCTAAATCAATCGACATTATCTACTGTACGAATAATTTCGTCTTTTCCTATTTTGCATAATTCGCCTGTCAAATTTGTTGTATTTAACCTATTGTTCTAAAAATTGAGTTTTATATTCTTTTTTTTTTTTTGTGATAAAAACTGGCATCATACGAGCATTAGATTCTGAGAAATTGATAAAAATATTCAAAATTGATGGCTTTAAGAATAATTTTGTCGTTGACTGTAGATAGATAGATAGATAGATAGATAGATAGATAGATAGATAGATAGATAGAAGGTCGCTCCAAAAGTAATTTATATTAATTTACAAGGAAAAATACAGCAGTTACATAGAGTATAGCATTGTTGCATAGATCAAGTTCTTAGCTGCAAAACAATTTATAAAATAGGAACCGCCAAATCTAGATTATATGTTTGGTTTTGTAAGAAAGTTTAGCCTAAAACTGTAAAATGAACAAAGGTTTCCAATGTAATGCCAGGTCTGTGTTGCAATTAAAAGTTACTCTGAAGACCGGAGCGTAAAATGGCCGAAACGTCGTGAATATGACATTAAAGATAAGTACAACAGTGTGATCCAAAAGTGACTTGAACTCACCTGTCACCCCCAAAATAGACAATATATATACTTTACTCCCTGCTCCAACAACTCTTACACCATATTTGCTTGGTTAGCCTTTAATGTCTGTGACTCGTGAACTATTTATTGGATTAACGAACACTATATATATATATATATATATATATATATATATATATATATATATATATATATATATATATATATATATATATATATATGTGTGTGTGTGTGTGTGTGTGTGTGTGTGTGTAAATGTGAGTGACGATTATAGTTCAGTTTTTATTCAATTCGATTTCGTTCCCCTCGCACTTAGAAAAGGCATGAACCAAATTTCTTCCAGTTTTGACAGGACTTTTATGTTTCTCTTGAGCTTGCAAACCACTTTAGAAGGAGGAAAACGTCTTGTAGAGAACCCCGAGTAGTGATTGAAAAATGACAAAACTCCGAGTTGACCTTCCGTCTGTATTAAATATGTGTGTATGCATGTATATCCAACTTGTACATTTAAAACCAAAAGGATTTCATGTTTATTACTTTTGTTCCCTGACCAAAAGTAAATTAGTCAAACAGATTAAACCTTATCAAATTAAAGAGAAATTAGAAGAATGTCAAAGATATATCTAGATAATCAATAAAACTTGAAACAAGAGCATCACCAACCATGCAATTCTTCATCGATAAGAGCTTATTCTCTTGTGGCACTAGTATCCTATTTCCAATTTGCTATTTAGACAGAAAATGTTCGCCCGTGAGGCTGTTGTTTGTAATGTGGGTTGACAAGTAAAGGAAAAAAAAACATCTGCGTTTGCTAAAGACAAAAAAAGTTTGCAAAACAAAAACGATGCTTATCCTGGCCCCATTTTTCCCATTTTTTTTTCTTGTCGGTGTGTTTGTCTGTTTTGTTTTTTGTTTTTTTGTTTTTTGGGTTTTTTGTTTTTTTGTCTTTTGGGTTTTTTGTATTTATTTATTATTGCAGCTGATTCGAAGGATCGTTTTCTTTCAAAAAATATCCCTCTCCTTTTCAAACTTGGATACACATGAATCAATTTCAGTTTCCCCAAGAATGTGTTCCTAAAATGAATACGATTGTGACCACAGTGTTCATTTGGAAAAAAACGCAACTGAGTCCGTATCAAAATCCATGAAGTAATAAAACTTTGAATACCAAACTTGAAAGTGCGCATGCGCCTACCTTCAAAAGATTGGAAGAGTGGAATTTAGTAAACAAGTTAAACATTCAGAATTAATTTGTTTCATATGGAACTCTAGACATTTCTTGAGGCTGCCTTATTTTCAGTTTCCTCAGTACATGTCATTGCTTTTCTCCATAACAATGACTGGAATTTAAAGTGAATCTACTCAATCCAAATTGAATATTTTTATCTTATAATGGCAAATAACATATATGTAGATAAATATGAATTCATATATGCGTATGATTTTGTTCTATAGATCTCAGTTTATATCAGCGCAAATGCGATTATTTATATTTAAGTATCCCCATACGATGATGCATTTGAATAAAATACATCACTATAAATGTGTGTGTGAGATAGAGAAAGACAGTTACAGTTGTGTAAACTATTATAGATGTTTTAAACTGGTTTAAAGGTGATTTACTTAATTTGAAATATATTTCCACTGAAAGAAGAGAAGTGTTTTTTTTTCCATAATCTGTGTGGCTGAATATTTATGAGAAAGAAAAAAAACGAGAAAATAGTTTAATAAAAAAACTATTTCCATCCACTATAGAGAAATCGAAATATCTGTATTTGAATGTTTTTTTTAGTTGTTAAAAAATAATTGTGAAAATTCAAGAGAAATAAAATAGAACGCCTGTTGCCCTCACATTTTAAAAATATGCAAAAATGCAACTAATTGCACTGAAATGCAAAAAACAAACATTCTCTACTTGCATCGCCATTTATTAACGGATTTTCTTTTGGGAAAAAACGAAAGTAATGGAAATATTTTATTCAGCATAAAGGCTACACGCTTCACTTCTGGAATCTCAAGAAAATATTGCTTGGTTATAAACACGTTTTACATGTTTTAAAAGGTAATACCTTGCGGATTAATTCTATTTTAATATCTTATTAGGAAAAAATAACCTTGAGTTCAAAATTATTCACTAAAATGGAAAAAAAATTAAACTTCAAGATAAACTAAAATTTGATTTGATTTTGTATCTTTTTTATATGTAAAAGGAAAAACCTTCAGGTTAATTTGTACGATTTTATTTAATCCTGTTTTGAAAGGTTTTTAAAATATTTCAGTATTCCGTTTTTATTCATTCGACACTTGAACCTGAGAGAAATATTATTAAATAACGCTGTTTTAATAATCGAGAAATCAAAGACAACATTAAATATCCACTGAAATTTAATAGAAGTTCGTTAAAAAGAAGAAATTGAGTAAAGTTATATCAGACTTCATCAGAGTTCATTTCTTTTTACACAAATGCGGTTTGTCATTATAAAGCGCCTGTTGAGCGTTTCAAAGAATTTGGCATAATTATTAGTTGGTTTTGGGGTAGTGTAACGGATATCAGCGTGGAGAATGGAATCTGGCTCGTCTGTTGCGTTCACTTTCGCATCAATTCTCTTGGGAAAGGTTAGGATGTTCGGGCTCTCTAGTCTTCTTTGGCAACCAATCTAATAGAAGAGAAACTTTGAATACTAAACCAAGAGGGAAGAAAAGGAAAACCATGATCGCCTATATACATTTCTTCATTCTTTAGTATGGCTGCTTAAAGCTATTCTATGAAATGAAGAAATTTATTTTCACCACAACACTTGGAAAAAATGCCGTGAGAATATCACTGTCTATTTGTGTGCATATGTGGGAGAGAACATGGGTAGGTAAAGGATTCCAATGAAGCAAACCCGAATTTTTCCAGCGGCGGTAACTTAATTTCCCACTTAGAAAATATTGATTAGTGTTTTTTTGTTGTTGTTGTTTTTTTTTTTCTCCTAAGACTCTTCCAATAATTTTAATAAGCTTGTTTAGTTATTCGTTTTGTTTTGTTTTTGTTTTTTGTTTACCCGCAAGAGATTTAGTTGTACTTATTTTCTCTTTTATTTTATTAAGTCTAGTGCATGGGAAATTTTATAAATCTATTATTCATAAATGCTAACCATATAATACTGAGCTTCTTGTATGTCATCATTTATATTTACTTTCAGAAGTGGATGTTTAGTAATGAATTTAAAGATATTGCTTTATGAAGCATGCATTAAGCATATGTTTTTATTTCCTAATCCAAAATTAGGATTGATTGGTTAGAATTGTATGGCTTATCCACACCTTGTGACTTATTTAAAGTCGTAATATATTTGGAATTTTAGAAGGTCATTTACAGTTCACAAGCATCCCCCCTCTAAGTGTTCAACGAGAAACGGTGTTTCCAGCGTTTTTCCCCGTAGGCGCAAAATTAGGAGCATAGTGTAATGGAATCTATTCATTATTAAATATATCTTTTAATCCTGAGACTTATAGAATTTTTTCAACATATTTCTTGGCCATATTTATCGATGGCATCATTTGTAAATGCTAACCTGCCAAAAATGTCGCTATTTTAGAAGTAATCTTTTGTTAAATTGAAATAAAGTTTTCAGCTTTCAAGGTTATTTTGATTCTGCATGAAAGTTATCGTTATGTTCTTTTACAATTATTTCCATATTTTGGGATGATAAGACAATTAATTTCTATCTTTGGAAGTAAATATAGAAAAAAATTCAAAATATGGACAAAAACATTCGAATTCTTCAAGACATTAAATGTAAGTGAAAATGTAATAAAACGAATTGTAACTCTTTCATCTGTCTCATTCAAAGAAAGACGATCATATATTTGACGATGTAATTACCATATTTAATTTCATGTGTTTTAAATATTTGTCACTAGAAATAAAAATTAATAATCAATATTTAATTCGTCTGTTAAGATCAGAAAATAAATATATTAAGGCATATTATATAAATAGAAGATTTTCGTAGGGTTGGTGATAATTTCTCGGCCTAATCATGATAAATTTCCACCGAAATTCTTATCTTTAGACATTTGATTATAGGAAAATGGGTCGCGATGAGAAATCTTCAGTACCCTTTCATCAAGCGGAAAAATATATAAACTTTCATATTTATATATATATATATATATATATATATATATATCAATAATTGTGATGCCACGTATGTTGGGGCATTTATATTGGCATGGCAATAAATCCGGATAACCTTATTTTCTTCAATTTCTTTTTAGAATAGACAATGGGACTAAGTTAAAACTTAATGTTGCGAAAGGGTAAATGCAAGTGTCAGTCAGGACTCTTTGCAAATTACCCCCCCTCTCATCGTTACCTCTGTTTTTGTTGTTGTTGTATGTGTTATATGTAATAGGAGTAGGTAGGCTTTCCTACCGCCCGGTCAACACTCCTCCCCCTTCTCTTGGACATGAGTAGAAGCTTACGCCTTGTTTCTTGTCTAGGAAGGGGTTTCCGGTACTCTCTCTCTCTCACTGGCCTCTCTCTCTCTCTCTCTCTCTCTCTCTCTCTCTCTCTCTCTCTCCCTGGCCTCCAGTTGCCTTGATCTATCCACTACTCTTCTCCTCATCCTTTCTTCTATCACTCCTATCCGATCTTGCTCCAAATTTCCTGTAATCCCTTGCGTCCTAGTGGCTTTCCGCCTTGCTTGGGGTGAA